TATATATATATATACATACATACATAAGTATATAGATAATTTAACGAATAATTATCTTATATCTAATTGTAACAACGTCTTTGCAAACCAAATCAGAAGTACAGAGATTAATCCCACATAGTTAAAATTGTTTCATAAACATGTGATTATAAAAGAGAAAAATTTTACAATTATTCATAATTAATTAATGTCGCAGTGTCAACACTTAATACGTTGTCGTTATGGCTGTTGCTATTGTTTTATGCCCGATACCAAAATGATTTCATCGATTTTACAATAATAAAATCTTGATCAATCGATTGATTTAGTTGCAAATCATTTCAAATAACATTAGACATCCAAAGTAAAAAATATTATCTCATGATTTTAAGAAAAAATTATCACAGATTAGCACTATTTAGAAGGAAGACAGCGAATGTTATTTTGTTTTTCTTTTTTCTTTCTTTAGCGATTATCGTTTTTCCAAAAAGAAAATTACATCTACATTTTTTAACTAAATGCAGAGCATCATCGTATTGGCCGATGAACAGCCGGTGGTTTTGTAGTATGCGGTGGTACCTGTAAAAATATCATTTAATCAAATTAAGTAATAACGTTTGATTTGTTGATGTTTGATAAAATAAAGCAAAAAGATTTGGTTTGAAAAAAAAAATATATGTTGTTTTATGTTACCATTGCACCAACACGAGATAAATAGCGATTTCTGATACTAATGTCGGATTGGGGTTGCAAAATATCATCTACCGATAAATCCGAAGTAGATTCGGGCGACAATAGTTTCTTTCTTTCCAAGCTTTCGGGAGTATGACGAATTTCTTCGTATTTTTCGCGTTGTCCTGGTGTCATGTTCAAGTAGCCACCGGTTGTTGCCAAGTCCGAGACCCAAATTGCAGCCGCAGTTATCAAGGATACTACAATGAAATCAATGAAATTGAATAAGATTAAATTCATTCATAAATATTATAAAATAAGCAAGTTAAAAAGAAACTAAATAATAAACGTGCAATCAACAAATTAAGGTATATGTATTATATTAACTATTGTATTCATTCTTAAGTTTTTGATCAAGAATGGCTATAAATAAAATAATATATAATATTTATAAAAACTTACTCCAAAGCCATCCAAGGAAAAAAATTTCAAGCATCATGTAACCGCCTCTATCAACAATAATTCCAGCTAAAATGGAAACTATAGCCAAACCTAAATTCTGTACAGCCTGGGCCCTAAGTAAAAGAATAAAAACGATTTGATATACATACATATACAATTTAAATTTTCCAAGTTAATACATTCTAAGCACTTATCACTTACATGCCATAAGCAGTCCCTAATTGATATTCAGGCGTAACGAGAGATATCAGAGGCCATAAGCTGCTAGCAAGTATGGAATATGCAAGTCCCATGAGTATCATACATACATATGGATTCACATATGTAAACGCTAATAGCACATGTGCTACCATAGTCACGCATATGCTAAGAAAAACCCAAAATACATTTTTTCCAATTCTGTCTATTAAATAACCCAAAAGAGGAGAAGCAATCGCTGATATTGTATAAATCAAAGAATTAACGGTATTTGCACTTGAAGGATCATAGTCGTACTTCCTTTCGAAGAATACTCTGAAAAGAAAGATATAAACCATAGTTTCCTTAAATCTATTATATATCATACAATTTTTCTATTTAAAATAATAACACTTACTTTCCTAATGCTATGAAAGGAAAGATTGTTACATAATAAGCGATGCAAACGAGAGTGATTAACCAAAATATAGGCTTGAAGTCTCTAACATCTTTTAAACTAACAATTTCTGGTTCTTGTCCTTCTCCACGCCTTAACAATCTTTCAGCATATTTATCCATTAGACCCAAAACGCAAGCGCATATCATAGAACCCACACAAGTAATAGAAGCAAGAAATAAAACTACGCCGATACATTCTGGGCCGGTATAATACTGAGATACATATTTGTAAATTGGTTCCATTACTAAAAAGTTAACGGTAGATCCTATACGAGAAAAGCTCAATTGTAATCCGAATACCATATTCAATTCCTTTCCTTTAAACCAAAGTACAGCATAACTGTTTTGAGCTACCGCCAATGATTCCGCGCCTATGCTGTCAAATTCAATACATAAAATAATATTATAATATTCTCGCATATTATTTTTATAATTAGTAATATATTATTTACATTAACAACTTACCCAAAAACAAATCTTCCAACCATCATTAACCAGAATGCATTGATCATAGCACCGGTAGCAAAGATTAATTGTCCGATCAGAGTAAGTCCCATATAAATAACAGTACCCAAACGAATACCGAAAACGCTGTCCAACAAGTATCCCCCGACGAAGCAAAGAATTACATTGGGCCAGGAATAAATAGAATAGAGTAAAACAAATTTACTGGTTGACATTTGCAAGTCAGTCTTGAAATTATCCTGCAAAGCTCCAGGATTGTCAAAACAAAAATATGAGCCTGAAACATACGAGGCATTAAAAATATTGAATTAAAAAATCATTCTGAAAATAATCCTTATCCCCTGTAAAGAAAAAAAAAATCATTTAAAAAATATTCTTTTTTAATCAATTGACCAGCTGCAAGCATTTCTATATAAATAAAATATAAATAAAAAGAAGAGTGGTATCAAATGTTAGATTCTGATATGAAAATATGTCGATAAGAGAATAAAATTGCATATACAAGTAGAATTTTATCACGATATTTGCTATGCGTGTGTTTGACGAGGTCATTCATAAAATTAAAATATTTCTTAGAATATAGGTCATTAGAATGAAAGGAATTCTATGAATTTCTATGGAATTTCATTATGCCGTCGACAAGTATCTACATATATATATATATATATATTTATGAATATATATATACATATATATGTGCATCTATATTATGTATGTATAATAGAGGCACGTTTACAATTTATGTTTGTGCATATATATGTGCGCATATGTATATGTGTAGATAATTTTTATAAGAAATGATTATAGGAGTGTACATTGATTTTTTGTGTGGAATTAAAGTTCCACAATATAATCTACTGTCCATACGTCAAACTTTGTTCTCTTATAAAAAAAAGAAAATATGTACTATGTAAATGCATGTACACTTGTCTAAACAAAAAATAAGCAATTAAGGACTTATCCACGTTACAAAGTTAAAGTAAGTAAAAATAACAAAATAAACTTGTTCTTTGAACCGCATCCGGAAGCTGATAAACGAAAAGGAACCTTATAACGAAACAAAAGAAAAGCAAGGGAAAAGAAAAAAATGTCTATGATGGGAGATACTAATAGAAAAAAAAAATAATAGAAAGTTTATATGTATATATATATATATATATATATATATATATANAAAAGTGGAGAGAAGAAAATTCTCGATAGAAGGGGGAGGAGGAGGAGGACCGTTATGACGTAAACTGTTAAACCGAGCAGCACGATGCCTGGAAGTTGGAAAGAAGTAGAAGGCGGAAGAGGGAGGAGGGAGGAGTATTATAAATGGGGTGGGATAAAAGGAGGCACACGACGCTTGGACAAGCAAAGGAGGTGGATGAAGAAGAGAAGGAATAGGAGGAAGAGGAGCAGGATGAGGAGGAAGAGGAGGAGGGAAACGCGACGGACCGGATGATGAATTAGCCGAGGTGACCTCTCGCGCGAAATCTCTCTTGCTAGCTCTCGCCGTAGGCAGCTCCCGTGATGTCGACCCCGAGATGATGGATCGTCTCGCGTCACGGAGCCATTCATCACCTCCATCTATCAGCCACCCCTTCACCTTGCTTTAGAAAGCGAGCATTCGACGGCTATCTACTCGCTACGGATAGTGATTAATGTTGATCGGAGCGCACCCTGTTATTCGACCTCTCTCTCTCTCTCTCTATATATATATATATATATATATATATATATTTATTTATCTAATCGTAAAAGGATTGAAGTCAATTTTCTATGTCATGTAAACGTACGAATATTATTTGCTTTCTTTTCTATGATTCTTTTGTTTCATTTCGTAAAAAGAAAAAAAACGTAGTAAACAATGGATAATTTGTAATGATCGAGGGCAACAAAAATTGTATTACATATTTAATAAAAATATCTTACCGAAACCAACTAGGCACATTAACGTTAATCCAACAAATCTGTAAGGTAATTTTTTTGGGCTACAAAATCCTTGCAAAGCAATTTCATCCTCCGAACGATTTGTCATAGAATTAATTGACTGGTCCGTAGTTGTTTCCACGATTCCACCCTCCATTTCTATTTGATTCTATTTCTCACTGTTTAGTCGATATCGTCGAAAGTTTACTCGTCAAATGAAATATATTCTTTTTGTTTTTCAATATAAATAGTTATTTATTTATATGATATTCTTCATGATATAATTAAAACAAAACCAAGAAAATATGATGAAGAATTCTACAGGTGTTGTTTTGTTGGCTCGATTACGATTTTGCGCTTCTTGCACAAGCCCAATTTGTCATCACAGAAGTTATGAACTTTGAACGCATTTATTAATCACAATTTGTAATTTTAACACAATGCAATGGGCCGACCGTTAGCCGTCACTATATTAAATCAAAGTTATTCATTCGATTATATGCTTATTCCTCGTTTTTTTGAACTTATTAAACGAGATAACCCTGTCAAAGTTAGCATCATCCTCTGTCACTCTTCTGTCAAATACTACTCGCGCATTATACACGAGTGAACCATCTGTTCGCAGCTAACGCCAACCAATCAGCTATTAGTTAAGAAATAGATGATTTAGAAAAAAAACTACAGTAGCGCCAAATTATTCGAATGCACTTATTGGTCCATCGAACGGACCAATCTACTATCGTCGATTAAATTATTCATTACTAGATACCAATATTGAGTAATTTTTAATTTTATAAGTGATTAATTCTAAATTAATTATTTCTATTTAACTCAGTTTCATTTCTAATTTTCGAAAATAAATATAAAAAATTTTGCGCTAAACAATCTTAGTAAAATGCAACAAGTAAGCAATAAAGTTAGACAGTTAAGATCCCTATATAACCGTTATTTGGTAAATATTAATATATGATAAGTTTAGATGTTTTCTGTTTTACCGTATCTAAAAGCAGTACTCTACTACATACAATACTAGATTGTAAGCAAAAAAAGATAATAATTAAAACAAAATATCTATATTAGATTTCTAATTGTTGTTTGTTTTTAAATGTATATAAAATTTAATTACACATACACTTTGTGTACACTACTTGCTATTAAAAGTTACTAGAAAATAAGAAAGTTTCAAATATATTGAAATTCTAGTAACATAACTAAGCCGATATCGGTAATAGTAGTGCTCTACCTTTATCTTACCGACTGAGATCTGATAGTAAGAAACTAATATATGCAACTTATTGCTCACTAAAAGCTCATTGTTAATCCATAATTATATGCCCTAAATATTAATTATTTCACAAGTTATTGATAATTAAATAGGTGCTAATTTTAACCCCCCATGCAAACTAATCCTTTAATATATTCAATAAAAATTATTTAATACATTGTTGTTTTTGTATTTGCATTAGAATTAATTCTATTCTAAAAAAAAATAAGATGAAAATTAATTTTAAACAAGTTTGGATTACTCCCTGGTATCTGAAAATACATAAAAGCTATTAAAAAACATTATAAAGTAATTAGTTTCTGTATATTAAATAGTTAAATGGAACCAAGGAGAGAAAGGAACATTAAAATAACACTTCGCACTTTTACTATAGAGTAATATAATCGAATTAAAATAAAAATAATACTAAAAATGCAATGCATTTCTTTGCAATATTTTTATTTACTTTATTCATTATATTGGAATTTTATATGAGACATTTTAAAGACTAAATTGCAATAGTGCGAAGTGCTAGTTATAATACTTAAAACAAAGTATCAATTCATCAAAGGTTTTGCGGATTTGATATCGACTCTATCAAGTTCGAGATAGAATCGAAATAGAAATGAATTTCTTAAATGATTGCAAATCCCTTTAAATCATGATACAACGAGCAAAGGATTTGATAGTGCATAATAGGTTCAATCGATTAGATCAAATATCTATTGAGGCATTCGAGTAAATGTAACTGTACGATTTGTATTGTAAAATGCGCTTAGAAAAAGCCTCGCAGCAGAGTTTAGGGCATGAAGAAAGAAGAGGCATTATGCCGAAGAGGCCCCCACAAATTTGTGGTATCAAGTGGGCAACTACACAGACTATTGAGTTATTTTCAAAGGTTCAACAGCAAGTTCGAACTCTTCTAAAATAGCTCTCTAGTCATATTTTATATTTTATTATATTACTGTTTTGCTCGTCATTAATTTGTAGTTTTAATTGGAGATGATGGACCATTCCATTTCCTTGAGACACCAAATTTGTGTTCCTCAAAATCGTCAAAAAGATGCATATGTGTTAGTTAGAGTCAAAAATATTAAAATTTTCGTAATATTAAATTTTGAAGCTTCATTAACGTTCGGTGAATATTAAAGTAATTTCTCTTTTCTTGTTTCGTCTTTAAGATTTTTTACTGTGATCGTATTTTATTAAATTTGTAATTTTTCTTTTCCATATAATGCAATTTAAAAGTAGTTCATAATAATTAACAGATATTATTTTTTTTAGTAACTTAATATTTGTACTTTTCCCTTTTTTTATATATATTTTATGTAAATGTAAAATCACGCGTTTAAATTGAATTTTATTGCAACGGTTAATAGAGATCTGATAGAAGTAAATAGAAAATTCAATTGAAAAGTGCATCTGAGAATTATGTCAGGCTATTATATCACTTGATTGTATGATTAATATAGTTTTTTTCTTGTTACAGGTGATCATCGTTGGATTTATCATCAAACCTTCTGGATTATTTTTTATTTGATTTTCTTAAATTGCTTCATTTTAAAATGTGTATATATATATATATATGCATTTCTGAAGGCGCACACACACATGTTTATACACTAAAAATTAAATAGAATTTATAATAAAAAAGAAAGAATACTGTATTCTTTGATAATATTGTATATATTAATACGTTATTAATATATATAAAAATTATTATAAACAGCTAATAAATAATTTAGTAAAATTTGAGAAATGTGCTGATCTAGAAGTTAGTTAAAGAAAGAAAGAAACCTGAGTAATTGAGTAAGATATCCTTCCACTGCACTATCAAATCCTTAGCTCGTTCAAGCACCCATTTCTCCCTCATCCCTCCATCCTCATTATTAGAATCTATGACTCTCGACTGGACATACAACAATCAATTCAAAGAATGTTTATAGATCGTCTACATCTTCTATTCCAATATACCCTAATCGATATTTCCAAATGGTATATACTTCAACATTTAAGTACAGACGTTATATAATAAGGCACCATAATAATATTTAATTACACGACATATCGATCTACTGGCTTGTAATTTAAAGTCATTTCTTCATTCTAAATCGAATAGTATATTCAGAAACATTGAAGGTCTATAATTGCATAAACTGTGGAACCTATTAATTTATCTTTGTCTTCTATAATCTTCAATCAGTTATGTATGATGAAAGCCATTAATTAAGCGGATTGTCTTGTAATTAAAAATTCCTTAAAGGAATATCAAATTTTCTTACTGAATTATATTGTAGGATCTAGATGATCACAGATGACGTTTCAGTTATAGTTCGATATTAAGTAATTGTAAAAACTAAAGATAAGATAGTCACGTTGAACATGAATGAATACGATGTAGAAAAACCAATGTTACGTCGGATCGAACCAAATTTTCATTTAAAAGTAAGCCTATCAATTATTTATTATATGGGAACTTGGCCACCTCAAGGAAAATATCGTTCATTGTATATCATTTGTACGATATGCAGTTTCACGTTTATGTTAGGTATTTTTTTGTTAACCGAAATAGCTAATATTATATTGAGTTTGAACGATGTAGGAAGATTAGTTGCTGGAGCAACTCTTCTTATGACTAATTGTACTCATGCATATAAGGTTCGTTTGAAAAAAAAAAAATATACAACATCGTGGTGTTTTTAATTACAGGGTGATTCACCCAAGTGTATATATTGCTTAAATTAATTGTAAATAGTTTATTATTCGCGATACCATACAATTTATGTTTGAAACATTTCTTCAAATAAGAAACAGTTTACAAATAATTTAAGTTCTACATTTAAACGAATCATCCTGTATAATGAAGAAAATTATTTATTATAGATAATAATAATTCTTCATCGGCAAAAACGTATACGAAATCTTTTAAATATAATAAAAAATGATATATTTGCACGAAACGATATTAATTACGGAGATACGGTAACTCGTTATACTTGGCAAGGAATTTTTCATCATATAGCTTATCAAAGTTTTGGTACAGTGGCTGTACTATGTTGGGGTTTTACACCCATTGCAGATCTTATTGCTGGAAGATCAAGAAGATTACCAATGGAAGGTTGGTATCCTTACAACGTGACTGTTACTCCAGCTTTTGAAATCACTTCATTACATCAGGCAGTGGCTATCTTCGTTGCTTGTTTTCATAATGTAGCTATGGATACTTTAGTTACTGGGCTTATAACTGTTGCATGTTGTCAACTTTCAATATTGTGTCAGACCGTAGCTTCGATAAAAAATTATCAAGAAGAAAAACAAATTAATATTGTAAAAAACGTGAACGATTGTTTTGATGAACAAAAAATTCTTTACGATGTTCCGTACGAAATGTTAAAGAAATGCGTTATTCATAATAACATTATATTCAGGTTTGTGCGTTAACTAATTTTATTTAACAAAAATTATATTTTAATTATATTAACCATTTGCGAAAGAGTATCTGCAAATAATTATCCAAATCTGTTTAGCTTTGCGAACGCGAAGTATACAACAGCTAGTGTACATCTATCTTTCTAAGCGATAAAATACGCATCGGTATAGTATACTAAACAGCATTACGTTTCCTTTAAAAAGAAATCAAAAATTTGGACAACTATTTGTCGACACTCGTCCGCAAAAATACGATTTAATTATTAATGTTACATATATTTCTCTCATATTATATATGCAGTTTCATTAAAGAGATACAGAATATTTTTGGTACAATGATCCTCTTACAATTTTTCGTCAATTGTATCATCATCTGTTTGATAGCTTTTAACATTTCGCAGGTACATTTTTTATTTTATCCGAATAATCGTCGATATTATTATAATAATATTATGATTTGAATTGATTAATCGATTACAGATGAGAGTATATATTCCAGCTATTCTTTTTGGTATGCTCATGTATATGTGTTGCATGACTTATCAAATTTTTATATACTGTTGGCACGGTAATGAGTTGCAATTACATGCAAGTATCATTTTGTATTATTTATTTACCGTTGATAATTTAAAATTTAGAGTTTTATAAAAAATTATAAATATAATTACAGAATATGTATGTTAGTAGAGCAGCTTATTGCAACGATTGGTGGAATGCGAATAATCGTTTTAAATATGCATTACAAATAATAATAATCAGAGCTCAACGACCTCTTACATTATGCGCCGGGAAGGTTTTCACGTTATCTTTGAATACTTTTGTTAACGTAAATATTTATATAATGAACTAGACATTTTATCATTCTAACTTTTTTTTAGTCCTTTGCGCTTATTAGGCATCACTATTAATCACTTTATCGCTATTATCTTTTAAAATCGTCTTGAGGTAATATTTCATTTAATTTATTGTGATAAAAACATATCAAATCAATTAAAAAATAATTTTTTTACAAAATTATTTTAATACATTTATATAATACGTATGTGTAATACATATATGTACACTTCCATAAAAAAAATACATGATCAAACGATGATTAACGAATGATTATACTGCAAAGGGCTAAATTTGTTTTGTATTGTAATCTTTTATATAAATTTTTATTATTGTTCAATTACAGATCTTGCGAATGTCTTATTCCATTTTCACGGTACTGCAAAATGCAACGGCTGATTAAAATATCAAAGTTAGAGATATACCAATATATTCATAAATACGATCACAATATATTTAAATATCAAAAATATCTGTTTTTCTTTTATTCCAAAAAATTTGTGAAGTTATACTTCTTCTGGCGCGTTTGTTTTACTTCTTTTGATTTTTAACTGATAGATAAAAAAATATATTCAATTGTTTAAAGCCGTTCTACCATAATGGCTATTCCTTGACCCCCACCAATACACGCTGAACCAATACCTAATTTACCAGCTTTTCTACGCCTGTAATAAAAAGATAAATAAAATATGATAAAAATATTTTAAATAAGGTATAAAAATAAGATCATTTTATATATATGTATAGTTTTACTTACCTAAGTTCGTGTATCAAATGAGCAGTAATCCTGCTACCAGATGCAGCCAATGGATGACCAAGCGCTATTGCACCACCATTAACATTTAATTTGTTAATATCTAATTGAAGCTCTTTGATACAGGCCAAAGTTTGTGCACCGAACGCCTCGTTAATCTTCGAATAGATAATATATACAATTAGAAGAACTTTGTTTTTCAATATAATAACAAGATAAATAACAGTCCAATTATATTCAATCTTACCTCAACAAGCTCGATGTCGTTCAATGTTTTACCTGTAGTTTTTAGTAAATTACGTATAGCTGGGGCTGGTCCAATTCCCATAATACTGGGATCAACACCAACGACACTGTATCCTACCAAACGTGCCAATGGTACTAATTTTTCTTCTTTGACAGCTTCTTCGCTAGCAAGAATCAATGCTCCTGCCCCATCACAGACACCCTGAAGATTATGAAAAGAATTATTTTTACGATGTCGTTTATAAAACATTAATTAAACTATTGAAGTATCTTTTACAGATGCAGAACCAGCAGTGACAAGTCCATCCTTTTGAAACACTGGATTCAATTTTGTCAAAGATTCTTTTGTCGTTTTAGGTCTTGGATGTTCATCTACAGAAACTGTTACATCTTGTTTCTTTACTTTTACCGTAACTGGGGCAAGTTCTTCTTTAAAATAACCAGCATCGTTTGCTAGAATAATATTTTGTTTGAGTAACATCAACAATTATTTATTTATACAAAATATTATTATAGAAATCTTACCGACTTTCCATAATTGTTGACTCCTCAAAGCGAATTTATCGACTTCTTCTCGGGTTAAATTATACTTTGCCCCAAGCTTTTCAGCGGTTAGACCCATAGGTAATTTACAATAGCTATCATATAATCCAGCCCAAAGAGCATCCTCGAACTCATGTTTTTGACCTAATACTGTTCCATATCGAATACCTCTTACAACAAATGGAACTTGGCTCATATTCTCACTACCTCCAGCTACAACGATTCTTGATTCGCCTGATATAATATTCTGAAAAGTATTAGCAAAAATTACTATACATTTAAGTATTTTTATATATGACAATATATAATATGATTCATCAACAAGTAATAATAATAATAATAATAATAGTTTATTGTAAAAAATCAACCTGTGCTGCATTCACAATAGTTTGAAATCCAGTACCACATAATCTATTTATTCCAAGTGCAGGTCTTTCCAATGGTATGCCACTTTGTAGTAAAACGTGACGTGGTAAAAGGGCACCATCTGCGGACGATAACTATAATTTACATTTAATAATTAATTGTATAATAAACACAAGAGAGAGAAAGAGAGAGTATACTATAATAAATATTTTTTATTAACGAATATACGTAATAATAAATATGTACCGTTAATACTTGTCCAAAAATAACACTATCAATTTTTTCCGGCTTTATTCCTGCTGATTGCATCGCAGCATTAGTTGCAACAACAGCTAATTCAGTAGCACTTTTATTCGTAAAAATTCCACCCATTGTTCCAAATGGGGTACGCTTTGCAGCAACAATAAAGATACCTGAAAACAAAAGAAAAGTAAAAAATAAATAGTTCAGCTAATAGCATTGAATGAATATCATTATTTATATTATAAACAATTAATATTATATTTATATA